TTTTTTTTTTTTTTTTTCCGTAAAGGTACGGAAGATGCTGTCGAATGAAAAATATGTAGCTTCATTTATCAGTCATAACACTTAATTATCATAAAAGAGGTTTGTTTTCTGATTATGGTCCAAGTATCAATTAACTGATTGTGAATTCGACCAGAGACAACCAGAGAGAGAGAGAGAGAGAGAGAGAGAGAGAAAGAGAGAGTTACAGATGGAGTTTTCACTAGATATTCACAGATATGAATAAAATGTAAAAATGTGTTCAATAATTTTTAAGGAAATATTCCTGGTATTGATTTGAACGCAAAGGACGATCGCGTTTGTTACGTTAAGTAAAAGCATTATTGACGACAGCTAAGTCTCTCATCTGAGTCCTCAAGGGGGGTAGAACTCCCAACACGGTTTATTTTCAATAAAGTAGAAAAATAAGGTACTTGTTAGGAAGCAAGTATAATGTCTAATGTCTCAGAAAATATCTAGAATGTTTATCTTAAATAAAGCAATAAATAACTTGCAGCTACTTTTAAAAGCTGGAAAATCCTTCGTGGCGTGTTTTTGCTCCAGATCATTTATTTTAGTTGCTTTAATGTTTTGAAATATTTTAGTCATTAATAAAATCTTCATTTTAGTTAAGACAATGACTGAAGGCCCCGTTGGGTATTTTCCTTACTCGTAACATGCACTTATCATTCCCCGAGATGTGAAGCACCCCATTCCTGTGAATCGTGAATTGCGGGTTTCTCATGTATCTCTCGTCCGTAGTGGAACGAAGTCATTATACTCGATGATAGTTATTTTTAGCTCGACAGACTAGCATTTTCAATGGGATACGAATAAAGTTTTTAGTTAATTTATGTGATTTGTAATTTGATGATTTTATTTCCTGTCGCCGTGAACTGTGATCACTCCCCCCCCCTCCCCCTTCCCAGCGGGCCCTCATGATTAGATGGAAGATATGTTGATAGGGCACAGTCAAATGTTTTACACGAAACACGACAAAACTGCATTCTCTTATAAAGCCCTTTGCAAAACCTTTGTTACCAGGCTATGAGAAAATATACTTGGCATTGACAGGGGCGGATCCATAGATATTTTCTGACAGTCTTCCAAATTATCTTTGTTGATTCATCCTTCATTTTTGACTGTCTTCCGACAGAAAAAATTAGATACCCATCAATGTAAACTTGAAAATCTGACCGTCTTCCGGAAGACCCAGAAGACGGCCTAAATCCGCCCCTGATTGAGGAAAAAATTCAGACGTTTTGAAAAAAAATGAACGCGCATGTAGGCCTAATATAAAGCCTACTAGCGCAGTCTACAAAAGTAAAATACAGGTACTAGTAGCTTTGCAGGATATTTAGGCAAAAATTGACTTTAGAATATTTCCAAGTACGTTTATTATACTTTTAATGGTAATAACTCTAAATGTGCAGGTCCTTAAATGCTCCATTTGCTCAAATTGAGCCTTGTGTTAGCTGAGATCCATCAAAAGTTGAAGCAAAAAGAAAATAATAATAATAACAATTAAAAAAATTGAATTACCTTTTTGTGAAAATATATTCTCTATCAATAATCAATGATATCATATCTAAATGAAAAATCAAAAGATATAATAACTTGGACTCAGAGTAAAACTGCGGCGCTTCTTGAAAGTGACAGGATGTACCGAGATGTGACCCAGTATTCACTGCGGGTTTTCTTTGACCTACTTAGTCGTGCTTAGGCGGAGCGGGAAAATTTTACACGTTATGAAATAACGTTATTCCAAGGACAAAATATATTTATGAGTTACCATTAAAGTTTCATCTGAAGCAGTAGGACATTCCAGCATCCTTTTAAATGCATGCAAACACATTCTTGATGACAAAAGGGTGAGTACTTTGTTGCAGTGATCTGGTACCGGAAGTCTTGGGATTGAAAGCGACAGTTGGGCGGGGTGTTTGAGAGAGAGAGAGAGAGAGAGAGGAAGGAGCTTCAAAGACAAGAGGTAGAGGATAGACAAAGGGATCCGGTGATCCTAGTGTTATAAGTGTTATACAGTAGATCTGGATTCCTGGAAACATCTGAGGTAAAACGTAAAAAATAACAATACATGTTTAAACATGTAAAA